CCCCAAAACCCCAAAACCCCAAAACCCCAAAACCCCTTTTGACTGGGAAAGATTGAAACTAGAATACCAATTTTAGGGATTTTTAGAGGAATTTTTTTGCTTTTGTTTGGATCTTTTTAAGAATTTGAAGAAGCCGAATTTTTTCTTCTTGGTTTTTTTTGTGTAGGGGTCTGTTTTGGAGGGGATTTTGGTGGCTGACGAGGTGCTGGAGATCTGCTGTGGGATTTTGAGCGAGGTCTGGAGAGGATTTTATTCATATTTTGTTTTATAAATGCTTCGGAATATATCTTTTTGACGATAATTCGGTGAAGAGTTTCTTCTATCCATTCAGACCATTTGTAGAATGGAGTATTGTCCTTTTGGACTTGTTCATACATTTGATTCACATGTAAATTTAAGATCGTGTTCATGTATGGACTGTTGAGCTTCACTGCCTGAGCAGTTAAGACAAAGAACTCTTTCATCGGGTTTCTGTTATTTCAAATATGCTAGATTTTTATCCTCTTTTTCTGAGGTATTAGATTTAGCTGATTTTGATGATTTAGCCTCTTCACTCTCCTTCTTCTCATAGATAATTCCTTTCTCCTTCATGCAGTTCTTTCACAGCATGTATGAATCAAGATCACTACTTGTCCCAGTGTTATTTTCGTTGGTGTTGATCTTGGATGAGGATGTCTTCTTTAGAAGACTCTGTGTGCTTATCTTCTTCATAGTTTTCCTCTTGAGACTTCATTTCAAGCCTTTCTTCCATAGTTCTATTTGTTTGATACCTCACTTCAAATTCGCTTTGAGAGCTATTTTCAAGAATATGCTCATCTTGGTCAGAGATTTCTTCAGAATCAATTTCAAGGGTCTCTTCTGTTTGGAAATCATGGTTTTGAGGTGCCTGATCTTCATAAACTTCAGTGTTGTTATAGTAATAGTCATCATGCTGATCATCCGCTTGATCGTAGAAATCAAGCTCATCTGCTAAGGAATCTAGTTGTCATGTCTTGTTCTTATCTGATACAATGTCACTGAACTCTACTTCTAAGGAATTAAGATGATTGACTCACCATGGATATCTTCATCTATTAAGTCTTCATCAAGAGTATTATTTTGGTAATCAAACAGATTCTGGGACTCTTTGGTATCCTTCATCTGAAGAAGATTTGAAGGAATACTTTCTCCCAATTTCTTCTGTGGCCGATGAAAACTGTAGTTAGATTAAGTAAATTACTGCTGGGTTCTCTCCATCTCTAATTTAGCGATCTTCATTTCTAGCTCTGAGTTGATTTGAAAAGACTTTTGGAGCTCATCATTGATTTTCCTGCAACTCTTCTTATAATGGTGCATTTTCTCTTTAATATCCTTATTGGTTTCCTTAAGAGCTGATATTTCCTTTAAAAATTTATCTTTTTGTTTTTCAATTGCATCTGCCGAATTACGCTCGTTCTCAAGTGCTTTATTAAGGATAGATATCTCTTCCTTTTTATCATCAATTTCTAGCCGAAGGGAGCTTAGTTTATCTCTGTATTTATTTATCAATATGATCTGTATTAGCTTTCTCTTGGTCGATTTCATCAGCCTTGATCTCAGTTTCTTCCTGGAGTGTGGATATTTTGGTTTCAAACCAATCATTTTCCTGTTTGAGCTCTTTAATTTTTATTCTGGAGATTTTCTATTTCTTGCTCTAGATCTTGCATTTTAGAGTTCTTCTGGACTTCTCTTTCTTTGACCTAGAGCATAATAATAGGACTTACTTGATCGTACATCTCCTGTAAATATTGAATGTCAGAAGCCAAGTCTTGTTTTTCTTGGGTTACTGATTGAAGTTTTATGTCGTAGTCGTCTCATTTCTCAAGGACCATTTCTGAGACGGAAACCAACTTATTTCAGATCTTTCTCAATTGAATTTATAGCTTTGTATGCATCGACCAGCTCATCCTCTAGAGTGTGATTTGACGGTATTACCTATGTTGACGTTGTAGCTGTTTTGGAGAGCTTTCTTTTCGGTATAGCTGAGATCATCAACCTTGTACTTGAAATCATCTATCATTTTGGAGATATATGCCAGATTGTTGTCATCTATGTCGGCATAGTCTTTATTCTTCCCTAATTTTGTTGTAATTTTGATTTTGGATTTGAGGAAATGGGAAGAATGAGAACTTACTACTTGATCTCCTCCTGAAACTTTTCCTCACCCCTTTTCTTGGCTGGTTGGAAAGACTTGTTGGAATCATGTTAATCGACAATATAAATTTTCAATATTTTATTGAAAAACTGGGGTTTTGGGGTTTTGGGGTTTTGGGGTTTTGGGGTTTTGGGGTTTTGGGG